TATTTTGTCATAATTTTGAAATTTTTACTTATTTTCTATTTAAAACCTTCATGAAAAACTATTATTTCCTTATTAATTAGTATTAGCATTTATTGAAATCACTCCTACTAATCATATATGTTAACTAATAACGTTATTTCATTTATTTCTTTCCTTATCAATAAAATACTATTAATTTCCTAGAATCTCTCTATATTCTTTATGTTACAAAAGTTTTTCGTTTTAATTAGATGAATTATATCTCATTTGTTTCTTTCCTTATTAATATAATATTAATCTTTCTTAGAATCTCTCCATTTTCCTTATGTTACTTTGGTTTTCTTCTCTTTTTCTTTTTGATTGGATAAATTAAATATCATCATTATGAGTTGAGAAAAAATCTGCCAATTTTTACTTCCAAATACAAACTGAAAATGTCATATTCCTTCTGGCACAAATTAATTTCACTTTCATTCTCTTTGTAATATCTCCATTAAAATTTTGGTAAGTTCAGCAATTCTCTCTTCTTCTTTTAAATATAAATTCAACAATCCACTTTGTCGTTTGTGAATAATATGCTTTGTAAATTTTATTTTCATCTTTTTTTTTCTCTTTCCTCATGTGTGATATAATTTTTTCTCTATATTTAAATAGGTTTGCTCTCATCAAGGTAAGATCAAATATCTTCTTTTAAAAATTGTATATAGATTATAATATCATTAATTTTGAATTTGAATTTTATGTTTTTCATTTCTAATTCAAATGTATCAAAATTTAACTAATTTTTTTTATCACCAATCTTAAGGAATATTGAATTTGTGCAATACATGTTATTTAAAAAATTTATATGTACGCGAGCCTAACTAATTTATTGATCACCAATCTTAAGGAATATTGAATCTATGCCTAATTTCTTAATGACCCATGTTAAGGAATATTGAATCTATGTAACACAAATTAATTAAATTTCAATATGTAAAAGAGCTTCAATATGACAACAAATTTTGATGTAATAAGTTTCTCTCTTTTTTCCTCTTTTATTTATTTTTCAATGAAAAACAATATTAAAGTATTATATAATAACAGAGAGGACAAGAAAATGGAGGAGCAAAGGATGGGATCGAAGGAATATAGACGTTAAAATTATTGAATGAATACAACATTTTATGTTATTGAGGATGAAATGGTCGTGTCACGCTTGAAAGGTATTAAAATAGAATTATGATCATTCAAAATGCATAGAAATAATCTCAGGAAAGATGGTGTATGCACTTTTTTTTTTTATCTCTTACTTTTAGTTTCATTTTAATACAAGTATATTGTTTATTTATTTAATCAAAATTACACTATTCATTATAGCGTCATAACTTAGGAAAGTGAAAAATAATATAAAATAATAATTACTTACGTAAATTTAAAAAAAAAAACATCATTTTACAATTCAAGCAATCTAATCATCCTTGACTAAAAAATAATTTCTAATTCATTTACAAATAAGTACTAAAGAAAATTATTGCTAAAGAACTTATAAATGTTATGGTTTTTTAACTTGAAAGTAGATGTATTGATATAAATATTTGTACTTATAAACATATATAATTGATGATTCTGAAGAAATTACTAATATAATTTTCTATTAAATTATTTTTATTTTTAGATATGCTTGCATTTTATTGGGATTTAGTATGATGTTGAGAAATTTCACCAAGGTTGAATTTGCGGTATCTTTCTTTTTTGGAGATTTTTTTTATTTTTTCCTACTTTATATGCTATATTACATTTGATTTTTGAAAATTCACACATTTTATTCTCTTAGTAATATTAAATGTGTAATGTTAAGAACTCATTTCTTATAGAATAATGAGAATTTTCGTTATTACGGTTAGTTTAACGATACAATACAATAAAATTAGATTAACAATCAAAACAAGCCAACCATCCAAACAAGCGGTTAATGCAATTTAATGATCTTAATTTTAATTACTCACATTTTTTATGATGATAAACCCTAAAATAATTAATAGACATGACATTATTTGAAATTTCATATTGTAGTACTATAAATAAGGACACTGTAAGAATTTGTAGAAATGATCACATTATTAGCTCTTCAAGTTGTTATGTTTTTGGTGTTTACATGCTTTAGTTTGACTTGAAGAATAAGATGAAGGTTATTGAATGATGATCAATTTGTGGGAGTGGACATCGACAAGAGTTCGCAAGATTGTACATTGATTTCGTATTGTTTCCTTCTATTTTTAATGATTAAGATTGTAAAAAAAATTAGTGCACTTTTTTACATTTTCTTTGTATGTTTTTTCTTTTCTTTTGTATTTTATACGTTCTTTTGGTCAAAATAATAACTTATGCTTCGTTGGCGAAGTCTGCTAACTACTAACAAAATATTTTATGTCCAGATTATATCAAAATAATGTCATTTTCCCCCTCTAAAGTGTCTAAACAAACACCACTAATTAATTCGCGGCGAAACTTGATGAAGTAAACCACTCGGGGGTGTATCATATTTCAGAAGTTAGAGGGAGTTTAAACAATTTCAAGTTTTTGGCGATTATAAAAAGATGAGCTAAATTCTACGGTTTATCCACTATTAAACAAACGCCTTAAGAAACAATAAATAATAAGGTAATATTATATTATATTTTAAATATATTAAATTTAATGCTTTGAAAAATGTATTAAATATTGAATAGTATCTAATAGTAAGGTAAAATAGACACAAATAGATAAATAATTCATTGATTTTCAAATTGGACAAGTATTGTTTGACATCTATTTTTAGTACAGTAGGCAAATAAAAACGGACGGAAGAAGTAATTGATATCTTACCGTTTTCAACAACCGCGCAAAGCGCGGATAAATTCTCTAGTTATATTTAAACTTCAAACTCAAAACTTTTAATTCAAAGTAAAGAAATAGTGACAATTAATACCAGAATGCTAACATTAATGCAACATAATTAAGGACTAGGGTGGGGGAGGATATCCATATATCTATCCATGGATAGTTGTGCACACATATCAGAGCATAGTGAATTATTTAAATTTTCTTAATGATTTCATTTTAAGTTATGAATTTTTTTATCACCTTCTTCACATATACACTATATTCAAAAATATTTTAATCTTTCGAATAAAATATTCCCTTTTATATTCTATTGCAGGAATTTGAAAAATATAAGTTGTCAGTCCAAAACAACTAAATCGATAATTGAACAGTTATTAATCAGTAATTTATTAGTTAAGTAACTAGTATTTTAATGATTCAATTATCAATGTAATGTATTTTACAAATTGGTAATCGATAAATTAAATCAATAATATTTAAAATATTATAACAAGAAAAAAATAAAAATTAACTACAAATTGACCACTAACAATTTTTTATCTAATTAACTATAGAAATTATTCATCATTAATTTTTATTTTTCTAAACATAAAATTAAACCGAATTGATCACCAAACAACCACTATAATGGGCATTAGATTAGTGGACAAAACAAGGAGAGAGTATCATGGATAGTGCTTTCCAAATCTTTTACTATATTACTTCTTTTTACTTGTTAGATTTAGATTTAATATACTTATTAAGAACGTAATGATTGATATGACTATTTTATCACACAATTTTTATTAAATAATAGTAATGTTTAGTACTTCATCTGTCTCGTTTTATACGATTCACTATCTCTTTTAGTTAGTCTAAAAAATATTGACACATTTCTATATTTACTATCATTTCAATTTAAAATGTTTACTTTATCCTTAATGAAATGATTTTAGACCACAAATTTTAAAAATATTTCATTTTTTCTTAAAGTTCATGTTAAGTCAAATTATGTCATATAAAATAAGATGAAAAAGTATTTTATTTTGAAAATGATTAATTAATAATAAAAATAAAACATAGAAAAATATAATATATTAAAAGTGACAAACATAAATAAAAATCTAATTTTAAAATAGCAAACACGCAAAAATGATAAGTAAAAATAAAAATCTCATTTCATTCCATATGAATTTATAAGAGCCACATTAATATATCCAATAAATTCCAGCACACAATATAATGGCAAAAAGTTTGAGTTGACACCACATTTGTATTTTTCTCTTTGGATTCTCTCTTGAAAAAGGTTTACAACTAATGGCCGGTAATGATTAAAGACATTGAATCGATAGGATGATAAAAAGAATTTATTAAATATTTTGAAATTTGAATTTTAAGAAAAAAATTTGTTAGCAACGTTGTGTTTTGATTTATATTTAATCATTAATATGTTAATATAATAAGTGCATCGTATTTTATTAAAATATGTCGGTTTCCATATAGTCCACGCCAACCTCATTTGCCGTTTTAAAGGTTTCGATAACACCGCCAAAATCATCAAAGATTGACTAAAGAAACAAATTAGGAAAATTTATAATAATCCATTAATTCTTTTTTAATTATCACGTATATTAATTAAAAATACCAAACTAATTTTTACTTCTTCATTTTTAAATTAAAATAAATTTAACATTACTCTTATCACTAAATAATTACACTAAGTACCAATAATTTAAATTTTCAAAACCTAATTAACTAAAAATCAATTTGATAAAACAACCCAATAATTAATTTTCTGTTTAAAAATATGAAATTAACAAGGCTAGATATAAATATTTACCAAACAATGTTGCATTTTTCATTTTTAAAAAAAAATTATAATTCGAAGTCAACACGATGTTCACACCTTTCAACAATATTTCATCTCACTTTCATTTATTACACTTTAATATATAAAGAGATATATTTTAGAACCACCTCCTCCATATTTTTCTCAATTTCAATAAATGCACTTTACATGATCATTATAGTTGAGAAAATATCCTCCAAATATAGAAACATAATTGTTGATATAATAAAGTTTTTCTTTTTCCTACTGCTGTGGTGTTCGAGTCAATTCATACTATTTTATCAAATATTATGTTATAAGAATTAAGAAAATACTTTGTGTAGTACAATTTGTGTGGTGAACTCTGTTTTGGCAAATTTCTTTCTTAAGATAATTAAACAGCCATGACTATTGATGATTCAAGCATAATTTCAACTCCAACCAGGCTAGAGGTAATGTTTTTAACTCTTAATCTCTGTTATCGATTCAGCAGACATTAATAGTTTTTGTTTAAATTTTACATTTATTATGTTCAAATTCTATTTTTTTTTTAAAAAAATTGGGCAATTGGTCTAAGGGCAAGAGAAATGTTAAAAGGGAATCACAATTAATAGTAAAATTTTAGATAGTCTGCGCTTAAAATTTTAGAATTTAGAACTTATGCCTCTGTTAATGCTGTTAATTGACTGAGAAGTGTATCTGAATGTTTCAGGGAAAATATAGTGGAATGGTGGTATGTTGGATTCTTGGACTTGGGTCACTTGTTTCTTGGAATAGTATGCTAACAATTGGTGATTATTATTATCAACTTTTTCCTGTGAGTGTCTTTTTAATTTAATTATCCTCTTCTTTTTTTTTTTTTAGAGAATATTGAAAAATCATGACTTTAATATGTTTGACAAAAAAGTCTATGATGATTCTGTCAATTGACTTTTACTTGGAATGTTAGCTATGTTGCTCGGATTCAGTAAGAATATTGTGAGGTGTGTGTAAGTGTGTTGGATCTTTGATACGACTAGGTGGAAAGGCACAAGATGATCTGTCTCTTGGCTTATGTATAGATATTGATTCATTCACTTATTGTGGAGGATCCAATGTGGTTTTCGTAGCATTTTGGAGAGTCCGAGCAACATTGAATATTAGGGCCCTTTTTGCATGATAATGGCCAAAAACATATCTGAACTATTGTTTTTTCCCGAGTTCCACATACCAACTATTAGATGGTTCCTTCTTTCTGTTTGAACTATCACCATTTATGTATTTAAAAACACACTTCAACTATCAATTGTTCCTTTTTCCTACATGAACGATGGTGATAGTTGTAGGAAAAGAGAATATTTGATAGTTGAGGTGTGTTTTAATGCATATAGATGTCGATAGTTTAGGTAGATAAAGGGAACAACTGATAGTTAGAGTATGAAACTCGTGAACAAGTGATAGTTCAATGGTTTATGATTGTTATATTTACATTATAATTGTAGTTAAGTTGAATTCATTGTAATCCCAGATAACTAATTAGTATATCTGCTTATAACTGGTTTTATTTTGTCATGTACAATGAAGAAATACCATCCTTCAAGGGTGCTTACCCTCGTTTATCAGCCGTTTGCACTCGCGACAATGGCAATTCTTGTATATAATGAGGCAAGAATCAATACAAGAAAGCGCAACCTAACTGGATTCACTCTTTTCTTCTTAAGCACATTTGCGCTCCTAGTGGTATGTTCTGATTAACTATTCTGTCATTTCATTTGCTTTACTCATGTCTTGTTTATCCCGACTTGACTTTTTCTTCACGTCTTGCTAGTTGGATTTGGCTACATCAGGAGCTGGCGGTCTTGGAAATTACATTGGTATATGTGCTATAGTCGCGGCTTTTGGAGTTGCTGATGCTTTTGTTGAAGGTGGAATGGTAGGAGATTTATCCTTCATGTGCCCTGAATTCATCCAAGTAAGATTGTCTCTTCTAATAAGTCTTGTACTTCGATAATTGCACTATTGTGTTGTAGTTACTGTTACTTTTTTTTTTCAGAATGCTTTGTGATTTTTTCCTTAGTATTTGCTTTGATGTGTTTTTCCTTGAGTCGAGGGTGTATCAGAAACAACCTCTCTACCTCCCAAGGTAGGGGGTTAAGGTGTACATACGCTCTAACCTCCCGAGACTCTACTTGTGGGATTACACTAGATATTTTGTTGTTTGAATCACAATTGCAAAATGTTTTATTGCTGCTCATGCTATGATTTTTCAGTCATACTTAGCCGGTCTGGCTGCGTCTGGGGCTCTCACCTCGGCTTTAAGGCTAGTGACTAAAGCAGCTTTTGAAAGGGCTAGTAATGGTCTTCGCAAAGGAGTTAGTACGTGATCTATAATGCCATTGTTAGTTATCAAAACGAGAGAAACGTTTAAAATGTTGTAGTTTTTATTTGATTATAATTCGTCATTTCCTTAGTCAGAATCTTGTGTTTGTTGATTTTGCAGTGTTGTTTCTAGCTATCTCCACATTCTTTGAATTTCTATGCATTCTTCTATACGCTTTCGTCTTTCCTAAGCTACCAATCGTTAAGTACTACCGCACAAAGGCAGCAGCAGAGGGATCAAAAACTGTTGCAGCAGACTTAGCTGCAGCAGGTATCCAAACTGAAGCAACCGAAAGAGTATGCAACTTATCGTTAACTAATGAATTTGTTACTGATTTCTTGACCTTAACGTTTGATATGCTCCTGTCGACTTAACAGGTTGATGCTAACGCTAAACAATTGGAGCGCCTGAGCAACAAACAGCTGTTCTTTCAGAACATCGATTACTTATTGGATTTGTTCTTGATTTATGTCCTGACTTTGTCAATTTTCCCTGGATTCTTGTACGAGAATACTGGTTCACACAAATTAGGTTCATGGTAAGCTTTGCTTTCCTCTTCTCTGCTCGCGTATTTTGTCATGTCCTGCATTCAATTCTTGTAACAAACATCTAGTAGAAAACGCTTCCAGGAAAGATTCGGATCACATAGAGTATATATACAAGGTTGATTTACCACATGAATTATGCAACTAAAGAAAGGTTTGCTTGTTTCAGGTATGCTTTAGTCTTGATAGCAGTTTACAACATGTTCGATTTGATAGCAAGATACATTCCATTGATCGAGAAAATCAAGTTGAAATCACGAAAGGGCCTAATGATCGCAACACTATCTCGTTTCTTGTTCATTCCTTGTTTCTACTTCACTGCAAAATACGGTGATCAAGGCTGGATGATAATGCTCGTGTCCTTCCTCGGACTCACCAATGGTTATCTCACCGTTTGTGTCCTCACAGTTGCTCCTCAGGGATACAAGGTTAGTGAAATACTTCCATATATCACTATAAAAATCGAAAAAACAGAAACATTTAAAATTTTTTGAACTTGTTGGATTCTGTTTCAACAGGGTCCTGAGCAAAATGCATTGGGCAACTTGCTAGTGTTATGTCTACTTGCTGGACTATTCTCTGGTGTTGCACTGGATTGGTTGTGGATTATTGGTAATGGAAAATTCTAACAACACATTGATGTGTACATAGGTATCGTTAACGACATTATACAAAATGTTAGAATCTCTTTTTCGACTCTCCATGAGTCTCCAGCATAATAGGTGTGAGTTCAATTTTCAAGGTATCATTTTCGGCTTCTCCTTCTGTATTTCCTATGTAAGAGTGTTTTTTTTTAGGAGAAAAGAATTTCTAGGGTCATCTCTATTTGATTATTTAAACTAGAATGTTTTTTGGTTTTGGACATTAAAAATTGGGGTAGGGAAGAGGAAATAAGGGAGGGAATTACGAGGTGGAGTATCGAACTCTTACCAATTAGGTAAAAGTTAATGTAACTAACCAACTGAGCTAGTAAGATTCCTCAGCATTAATAATATTGATATGTATGCATGAAATGGCTCTTTTTGAAGTCGAATCTTGTTAATTAATGATGTTTTGGCTAAAATTATTAGCTATCTTTAATTGTGGTCTTAAAACTATTTTTCACTCTAAAAGCAAATATTGAAAAAAAATATTCAAAAAGATAAGCCAATATCATTTACAAAAAAAAATGTTCATTGTCTTGTTGTAGCCCATTTATTGTGGGCTCAAAAATGATCTTAAGCTCCCAACACTATTATCAACGTAACAAACCCCAATAAAGCAAGTAAAAAACTATATACTAGTTATTTAATTTAATAGACACACTTGTTGTCCTTTCCATCAAGTTTCAAGCTTAAAAAAAAGTGATTTTAGAATATCTTCAATGGATCTCACCAACAATGATAGAGATTGTTTATCAAGAAAATGATACAATTGAATATATATAAGGTCAAAGACACACGTCTTAGCTAATTAAGTTGTTAAGTTTGTATATTAGCAGTTGAATAATTCAGAGGCGTATCTAGAGGGGGTGCCGTGGGTTCACGTGAACCCATGCTCCCTCTCTAGATCATATATAGTAGTGTTATATTTTTAAGAAAATATTTAAATATAGATGTGTGAACCCATGTTCAAAGTATCATATAATAATACGATGATGATTAGGTGCACCTCTCTAAGTGATGATAGAAATTTAAATCTTATATATATCTTGTCTTTTTGAGTAACACCACTCCAAATGGTTATCGGTGACACTTTTGACGTTTCAACTAATTTTTTTTTTGTATTTTTGCCTTTAATCTTCAAAATTTTCAAGTGTCTTACATTGAAAATTCCTAAAAATTTTAGCACCGTAAATTTTTTATCTAATTAAATCAAATGTGTATATTAAAATTTAAAACTAATTGTATTATATATTTTTGGATCTATAGTTTTTAAAATTTAATGGTTCATATTTAGAACCTAAAAGTCAAATGATCAAATTTATATTTAAGATACATTTCTTCATAATCGTGCACCCATCTAGCCGAAATCCTGGATACGCCTCTGTTGAATATGGTAATATATAGTAGCAAGAAAGAAAGAGGTAACGATAACAAAGTTGTGTAAGAGCTTCGATGATAAGTACATATATGCACTCAGGTGTTGTTCGAGTATCTCTTGCTTCCGATCCGAGAACGATATTATTATAAATTAAATGCTATAAGATAAAGACTTAGTAAAAAAAGAAAGCTCGAAGCACAAGAATATAAGTGTATTGTTATTGCTAGTTTTGCAGCTCATAGGTCTATAGTGTTTACACTATCAATTATCTAGTATTTCCAGCCATAATATATAGGTCATTTGCCTTTTTTTTTCCTTTTCTTTTTGTAGATTACCATATATTATGCTTGCTAAAAATTTCATGGTTAATTAATATTATTACTATATATTACCATAATTTCAAGAGGAGCTTTGGAAAAATCATAAAATTGTAATAAACGATAAAGTTATTTCTGCTGGTTTAATTTGTGGAATCAATCAGTGATATTTATGTTCAAAAGTATACATTACTAAAAAATAAAGAATTAGCGATAGACAAAATTTCATGCTAAATCCACTTATCGACGGAATATAAGAAAATTTTAGCTAACTAGAAGCTTTTTTAATGATGAATCGAATCAGCTAGAAATTACCAATAAATTTTGTAACTAATTTCATATTTCTCATAATTGTATATATATTATCTACATCATACCCCCTCATGATGCATATGTTATCTGAATCTGTTTAAATGTGAGATACTTCATATACTAAACCTTAACATTCTTTATATTAGAAATAAGAAACGTACCCCACCCCCACCCCCACCCCAAAGAAAAAGATATGGAAGCTAAGTCAAGGAGGTCATAATTTCCACATGTTGAAAAAACAAGAAAAGGTATATTATAGCCTAGCTCTTTGAAAATGTGACATTTTAATTTCTCTATTCAATTTCTTCTTTGGTTGAAAATGGTTTTTTTTCCTCAAGTGGTGTTAAAAGCAAAGGGAGAAAGAGTCATAACAAAAAGAAACAACGCTGAAAATAGTAAGAAGCCACCGATTGATTTTACTTTGGGCGGTTCAAAGAAGAAATTCAATTCAATCTTTTAATATGTAACATTTTTTCCTGTCCATGGACTCTTTTGTCATCGATGTGGGATCTTTCAATCATCAATTACCCTTACATTTGGATCTTTTTTTCGGATTGGAGCGTACATATTCATAGACTGAGTAATTTTCACCTCCTCAGTCAGTTCGACTGTCCACGTCGAATGGGCCTGACTCTGGTACTATATTGAAGAAATGAATTTTGAGTTTAATTTAAAGAAAAATTACCTAAATACACATTTTATTTTATCATAATCTCTAAAATTCTCTACTATTTAAAAAAATTTCAAAAAATCCCCTCTTGGATTCATCGCACTCCTCTCGCTGATTGAAGAGTGCACATTCAAAGATAGGGGGTATTTCCACCATCCTCAATCAATTTGAGGGTCCACATTGAATGTGTCTAACTCTAATATCATATTAAAACAACATTTTAATAAGGCCAAACACATATGCAGACCCTTAAACTTGTCCCTAAATTCCATTTTGACACTCCAACTCAACCTTGTTCCATTTTAACCCTTCAACTCCAATTTTTATGTTCCATTTTGGCAATTCTAAGTGATGTGGCAGAGAGTGTGCATCACACATTCTCTAAGAGAATGAAAGACAAAAAAAAAAGTATTTTTTAAAAAAATAATAAAAGATTACCCATCAACTCTATTTCTTTTATGTACCATTTAACACAAAATACTAATTTTATGATTTCTTTATTTTTATATATGTTATTCAACTGCAATTTTGCATTTTAAAAATCGACGAACTCCCGTTAATTATTGTAAAAAATTAAAACTGTCGGATAATCATTGATTTTTTTAATAAAAAAAGTAACAATTTCTTTTTAAGAGTTTTCCTATATTTTTGCGTGAAAAATAACCGACGAAAGTCCGTCGATTTTCTTTCTTAAAAAAATCAATGACAACCCAACGAAGTCTATTGAGTTTCAACATTTTTTGGTAGTGTTATTAATTAGCAATGAACATGAATTTTTTTTTACTCGTATTTAATTAGTTGAATGAAAAATTAGAAAGCTGATATTTGAGTTAGTCCAAGTAGACTAGATATGAAAAAAAATATATGTGATGTTGTTTAAATTAACTAATTGTTTTTTTTTAAAAAAACAACAAACTTTCGCAGATTATTTTTTCACACAATAATGTACAAAAACTCTAAAAAAATATTTCTTTGAAAAAACAATGTTCATCAAATTTTTTTAACACAATAATGGCATGTGAAGTACACACATCTCACTTTATTGGTTCTTTTGAAAGAAGTGTCAAAATGGAACATAAAAATTGGAGTTGAAGGGTTAAAATGGAACAAGGTTGAGTTGGAGTGCCAAAATGAAATTTAGGGACAAGTTTAAGGGTCTGCATATTGTGAACACCTAATTTTTGACCAAAACATAAAGATTCTACACCCAATTTTAATATTTCAGCAGAGTTATATTTAAAATAAATGGAAAATAAAAAACTGAAAATTACAACAAATTATAAGCTCACTTTATGTTTAAAGTTTAATAAAGAAAACTTTTGAATTTAACGTATTTTGTTTTAATCTTTCAACTTTTATCTAGTCTAAAAAATAATAATAGTCGTATATATCATGGAAAAGTAGAAAAAAATAATAATAAAAGATAAAAAGAAGAGTCCTAAAAATTTCAAATTACCTTACCTTTATCCTAATTACCCCAAACTTCCTTAACTTATTTGCTAAAAATCCTCCTCCCATTTAGTTTATTTTATTTTTTATTCTATTTTTTTTTTGTTTTGTTCTTGCACGATCTTTTACAAGTTTTTATTATTATTATTATTATTATTATTTCTTTCTTTCTTTTCTCTTCGTTCTTTCTTTTTTTTTTTTTTTTTTTATTATTTGTTTGTTAAATATCATATTACCATTTTTCTTCCTTTATCTCAACCCTAAAATTCTCAACTAAAATTTAAATTATATTCTATTCCCACTCCATCACATTCCTTTTAATTAGCACCAGACTCACACCCAAAACTATTATAAAAACACACGCTCAGTAAAGAAAAAAAGGATACACAGAAACACAGAGAGAAAAAAAAAGATAACAAAAAGTGGGTTTTATTTTGAAAATTAAGTCAGCGTTCAAGGTTTCACTCAAGGTTTCGGATTCGTGGCTCTTTAAAGTTAATATTAGCTATTAACTTTGGAAATCAGTAGATCGTAACAGTTGTTTTTTGTGGTATTAATTTTCGCAGCGAGGTAACTCTAAAGTCTCGCATAATGTAGTTGGAATGCTCGTACGAAATTTGATTCCAATAATATGAAGTTTTCTGAGTCGCATGTTATTATTATCTACCATTGTTTGTGATGAATTTATGAATGCTTAGAAAAACGTAACCGTTTACGTTTCTTGCTTTAGAATAATATAAAAAATAAAATAAAAGATGTATCATACATTTTTTTTAATTATTGTTTTATGCTCTTTAGATGTAATTAATATTGAAATTGGTTTCGTGATATTTAATTTTGAATAGGTAATGTTTCTTGGACCTTAGTTTTCACTTAAGAAATTTTTGTTGAAATTATTTGTAGACTTGTTAGATTAGGATATAAATTAGTGCTTTAGAAAACCTATGAGGAACGTGTTTTAGTCTTCTTTTTTTTTAATATATTATTTTTGATAAAAAATAGTTTGCCTTTAGAATAAGTGTTAAGATGATTATCGCTTTAATTCGAAT